CTCTCGCTGAAGTTCTTTGGGTTCCATATTTTCCTCATTCCCCTCCAAGTCTAGTTGGATTGCAGAGTTAAGTTTATGATCATGAATAAAAATAAATAAGAAAGAAAATGCCCATTGGTTACGCTGTGCCAGAATTCTCCTTGCTTGCTACTTGTAAGTTCCCCATTCACTCTACACACTGCTCCTACTGACTGTAGGGCAGACAGAGACACATGGACACTGCTTGGGGCCTGTTGTACCCTAGACATAAACCATATCTTCAGCCTTTATCCTCTAATCTTTCTACTTTAGAACCTGTGCTCCTTGTCATCTTGACTGTCCTGCTTCCTCCTGGTCCCTTTCCAGACAGTCTAAAGCTTACTCTTCAAAGTTGTTTGTGTACTTCCAAACAGACTTCTTCCCTGTACTTGGCTACTGTTCTCATCAAAAGCAAATTATTCCTTGGACTTTCCATACAAATATTTTCATGGACTGCCCAACACACAGTACACACTCAGTGAATGTATTTGAAGGTCAACTATAGCATCCTCTGTCGTAACTGTTCATGCTGCGAACACACCTTCCATACCCATGCTGTCTCTGGAACCAGCAGAGACTGAGTAGTAAACATTCAATGTGTGTCTGTTGCACTGCGTAATCAAAAATATTCACTAAAGGAATAAATGTGATGAATGGGTATAGCAAATGAAGGGCTGTCTCAAAGGGTTTCCATATTATATTGCTATATTACTTAGTACAAATGACTAAAAACCCCAGTTTCACATAGCTATCATCTCTATCATGTGTCATTCCCACCTGTAGGAAAAGAAGGATGAGACTGTGTAGGAGATACCACCGGCTCCAGATGCTCAGATCTCTTTTTTGTAGGTTGTTGGGCTTGGTTTCTTTGTGAAATAGGATTTGCATGGTTCTGGCTGACTTTTGTCGTGTAGTCTAGGCTAGCCTTGAATTCATGATCCTCCTGCCTCTGACTTCTGAAGTCTGGGGTGAGGGCAACCCTCACTCTTCAGCTTTCTTCTTTGCCTCTCTTTGCATGTGACCTTTTCCTATGGGTGGGCTTCTTCCACATGACAGGGAGCAAGGCTCCTGACACTTCCAGTGTCTCATGACTCACAATGTTGATAAATTGAACCTTGTTCTCTCTCTTTTTTCATCTTACATCCAAACATCTCAGGGAAGTGAGGCAGCAAAACAGTTCAGCGGGGAAGGGCTCTTGTTGCCAGGCCTGACACCTGAATTCATTCCTGAGATCACATGATGGAGGGAGAAAACGAATCCCTGTAAGTCATCCTCAGACCTCTACGCTTGCCCTGTGGCACACATGTGCACACACACATACATACAAATAAATGTAATTTTTAAAACAATTTTAAAGATCTGGGGGAAGCAGCCTGGTCTACAGAGGGAGTTCCAGGACAGCCAAGGCTATACAGAGACACCCTGTCTCAAAAAACAAACAAACAAATATCTGGAGGAAGAGTGTAACTGGCTAAGTATGGATCATGGGTGGGCAGGGACACTAATGAAATGACAGTTCTCATGTTAACATTGAGAAGAAAGAGCATCTTGAAGCAGCCTGGGGTCTGGAAGATGACTCCGTGGATGAGAGTACTTACTGTGCAATCATGAGGATATGTGTGCCCACCTCAGCACCCATGTAACAGGTCAGGTGTAGTTTTGCATTGATTTGTCACCCCGGCCTACTGGGGACAGGGGATCAATAGGCTTGCCAGCTGCTGGCCTAGCCAAAAGATGTGAGTGCGAGGTTTAAAGAAAGACCCTGCCTTGGAGGAGTTAGGAGTGAGCAAAGATACCAGACACCCTCTTTAGCCTCCGTGTATATGCATAGATATGCACTCTTGTATACCTGTGCCTGTGCAATTCTTTCTCTTACATATACACAAAGACACAAAGAAATAGTAATGAATTGTAGATAGCCTTTTAAAAAGAAGAGCCCAGAGTCTGGGTGTAGGGAGGATGGTTACCACAGATATCCAAAAAAGAGTGACACTATCTGCATTCAAGGGAGATGCAGAGGAATGATGAAGGTCTTGGGTAACCCAAGACTAAGCTCTCAAGAGTCAGAGTCACATTCCGTGAAGCACCCAGGGTGGGAGCACTTGATACGTTCTCTTCAACTGAGGGATGGAGACAGCCTGACTATGAACACTGAGGGCAGCGCCCCACCCCTTGCCCCAGAGAGGCAACTCTACTTTCCCACATCTAGAGGTTATTTTTATGGACAGATTTATTTTTACCCACTCTAGACCTCAAACCTGCAGCTGGAAGAAACCAGACACCAAGGCTTCTAGGTTTCTGGAAAACACAGGCTGCAATGTCCGGGTCAGCTACAGAATCCAGACTGTGGTCTCTCTCCCCTAGAATCACCTGAAAAAGAGAAAGGAGGGTCCTCTTCTCTTAGCCTCAAAGCCCAACCAAAAGATAGCACTACTTCAAGAGAAGGACCTATGGTTCTGGTAGACACTAGCATCCTGGCCTGCCCTCCTGAGGTGGGACAGCAGAGCTGTTATGCCCAGCAACACCACCAACACTGTGCCCACAGCCCTGCAGCCCAGAGGCCTTTAGGAGAGGATCTTGCTTTTAGATCTCACAAGCTAGCCAGCTCTGAGCAGGTATCACCCATGGCCCCCATAGGCCAGGAAGCCAAAGTACATGTCTCCTTTGCTGGATCACACATCTGGTCTAAGCTGTTATTCCCCCAAGACGAGTTTACCCAACAGTTAAGCAAGGCCTCCACCTCTGCCACCACTGAGAACTGGGAAAATGCTTTCATACATTTAAAGAGCCTTTTCAGAAACTGACTTTCTCATGATAAAGATGCAACTGACATTCATTTGGGCACCAAAATGTCAAACTGTTGCAGGGAACCTGACAAGCTATTAATTCTGACTCTGTCTGGCTGAATCCACTCCCTTTTCCTTTCTATGTCTGCCCCCAAAGACTAATGTAGGCTCCTGAAGTTGACATTTTGGTGGGACGTACCACATCTAATGAGGCACCGTCTATCTTCCAGGGAAATGCTTAAGAGTTGGAGAGAGACCAGGGGAGTTGGAGGTGTGGGGGCATACCAGAACAATGTCACCTTTGGTGTCTTCTAAGTGCCTCAGCCGTAAGAACTAAAGTCCCTGGAAGGACTTCTTAGGCAATAATCTTTGGGTTTTGTTTTGTTTTCAGCAGAAAATGACTCTAAAATCTTCCCCTACCTTGCAGCTGGGCAGGTCTTGCAACTGGGCGGGTCTTGCGACCGGCTGGGCGGGGCTAAGGAGAAATAGCACCAGTACAGACAGGGATTTCCTTATTAGACAGGTGGCAGATAATCTCATGGACAGAGAGGAACTCCTGACTTCTGCTGCTCCAAATGTTTCCTTTACTTTTGCTGTTTAACCTCTCCCTAGCTCAGAAATAGGATGTAGATGAGTTACTGAGAAACAGTGGGCTATGTTGGGCGTGGTCACACAGGCATAGGAGCCCAGCAATTAGCCAGTAGCTAGAGGAGGACAGATGCCAGAAGTTGGGAGGGGTTCCTGGTCTTTGTTTCTTCCTGCTCACAGCCTCTTCGTCCTCGGGCAGAAAGGGGCCCGAGAAGCACAGGCATGATGTGAGGTACAAAGTTAGTCTGCTTGTTTGTTGGAAACAGGATATTGTTTGTTTTGTAGATATTGCTGGCCTGGCACTCATTGTGTAGCCCAGGCTGCCTTCAAACTCCCAACATTCCTCCTGCCTCAGCCTTCTGGTCACTGTGATTGCAGGAGCACTCCACCAGACCTGGCGAGGTGTGGGGGCCTTTTTGAAGTTCTGTTAATAGGTTTGAAGCTGTGGTAATCCTCTTCTTCCCAGCATACCGTACGCTATAACCCGTGAGGTTACGTTAGCCTGCCTCTCACAAGAGTATAAATATGAGCGCATATGCCTGCTGAGGTAGGTGTGGGAACGTGCCAGTCAATGAAGACTCGCTGTGGGAGCCAGCTGATGGTGCATGTTTGCACTTGAAAGCCATAAGGTTCCATGCAAAAGCTATGGGTGGCACCGTTGCACAATGCTGGTGGGCGTGTGGCACGGAGGTGTGATTAACAGTTTATAGGCTGTGTCTAAGCGTGTACGGATGTCTCAGTGTACACAATCTAGAATGGAAATGTGTGACAGTATGATACAGGGGGAGAAAAGCACATAGGCTCTGGAATGGATCTGATTTACCCTTGAATCCTGGCTGTCATTAACCAGATGTATAACCTTGGGCAAGTCCCTCAATCATTAATTTCCTCAACCATGAAATGAGGACAGTAATGAGTACCTTTCGAGACTGCCACGAGGGCTAGAAATGATATTGTAGATGCAAAGGTTTGGGTGTGCAACCCACACACGGGCAATCAGCTGTTCTGTGCCCTGTGGAGATCCCTTTGGTTGGGTACACAGGCAAAGAGAGCAAGAAGTGACCTGTGTGTGAAGGCTGAGGAAGCACGTATGTGTGCGCGCACCCTGTGCAATCTCTGCCAGTGAACTCCCAGTTCAGGCCGGGTCAGTAGGGCAAATGCCCACAAACTCCTGAGGTTTCTGGGCCCTGGGTCTAAATCAGTAGGAGACTGAGAGGCCTTGAGGAGCTGCAGGAAGCCAAAAGGCTTGCAGACACTTCCTTTATTTCCCCTCCACACAGCAACGGTTGAAGACCGCTGCCCACATCCACATCCACTCCCACCTCCACCCACGCACACCCCTGCTCTGCTCTCCTGTAAACAAGAAAGAACCAGCGCGGAGGAAAGCCAAGAGGGCAGAGGATTCCCCCTAGACTTCCCCATTCCGCCTTAAGACCGACCTAATAGCATCATCCCGCCGCGCCTTGCACTCGGGCCACCTTAAGAGCTGAGCAATGCTCTGGCCTCCCGCCAAGCCCCACCCCCGCTGGCTCGCGCTCCGCCCCTTTCTCCTCCGGCTCTGCTAGGGGAGAGCTGGGGAGCCCCAGTCTGGCTGGAGTTGGCTGGAGCTGTTGCCATGACAAGCATTTTCTTAAGACAGCTCTGCCGTTGAGACCGTCTTAGGCTGGGGGTGGGGTGGGGGCACGAACTTCCTGGAGGAGCATCCCTCTGAAGACAGCGAGGTCTGACACCCGCCCAGCTCGCTGCACCCATTTTCTTCCAGGAAGGTCCTCCGCAGTGGAAGGGCTGGGGAAAAAGACCCGGTCCTTTCCCCCAGCTGTGGCAGAAAGGCCAGAGCGCGAAGCCAGCTTCGCTAGGTGGTTGCCACACTGGGGAGTGAAGCGGGTGGTCACCCACCCTACTCGGTCCGTGGAAACGCGGAGGGAGAGTGCAGCTCCGAGACACCTGGATCTTTGCTAGAAAGAGAGGTAGGCTTGCAGAGAATGAACTGACTCGGGGTTTGCAAACTTTGTTTCTTTCTTTCATCTCCATGGCTTCTCGAAGTACCCCAATTTCCTCATGCTAGCAGATTCTGGGAGGGGTGGAGTGGCGGAATGGAGAGGTGGGGGGAGCGGAGAAAAGGAGAATGATTTCTTCAACACTATATTTCTTCCCTGGGTTCTGAAGAATCATATAATCAAACAAGTGATTTCTTTGCGTTTTCCTCTGGATCATGGGATGGGTGGAGAAATGGAGGGACTGACTGTCTTTTTCGCACCCAAATTAAGCTCTTGGAAAAAAAGTATTTATTCCAACCGACCCCCCATCCGCTCCTGCCCTCCCCCTCCCCCTTGGCTTGGGAACCAGTCGCAGAATGGAAAACTGTTGCGGGGGGGGGGGGGGGAGAAAAATATTTTCCGCGTCTGTTCCCTTTCTCGAAAGCCCCAAAGAGAGATGGGAAAAATAAAGCCAAATAAATCTTCAGCGTGAAGGAAGGCCGTAGGACCAAGAGGGGGCACGTTGGGGGCATCAGGTGGAGATAGGCTAGAAGTTGGAGGGTGAAAACCAGGAGTGCACAAATTGAATTTCTTTGGCTTTGCATAGAAACCTCAGCAGTTTCTCTCTGAGGCTTACAAAACATCCTCAGACTTTGACGTCTATAATTAGCTGTGGAAAAAGCTGGGAGTTCCCTCGCACTGCTGTTGTTTGAGTGAGTGTAAGCGTCCAGAACCAACTGTATGAGTGTCTCTGAGGGCACCGCCCCACGTATCTATGCTTCTATAGGGAATAAAAGAGAAGGGACCCGAAAAGTTTTCAGTTTCAAGTCCCAGGCTGTGGGTCGGGCGGGCTTGGGCCTCTGGCACCTTAAGAGGGTCCTTGAACAGATCGCTTAAGAGATAAACATTAAGGCTGGGATTTCCCCCCCCCCCCCAACACATGTACCCTTTTCTCTATCCTGGTCTTGGACCTGGGTACTGCCTGGCATCTTTCCCTGAGATGAGTTGAACCTTACATTCGTGTTCTCTTCAGGAAGAATGCCTACTAGCTTCTTTCCAGCTAGGTGGGAGAGATGGGGGAGGGGCTCACAAATCCCGGGAGCAAAGCCGCCTCCTTCCTGGGCACTCCTGCAGGACTCACAATCCGCACCTGACCCCATCAGGTTGGGTGGGTGATTGTGGTGGTGTCATATGAAGTATCAGATGATACCAAGAGAGGAACGAAGTAGAGAAGGAGGGAAAACGAATTCCCATTCTGCAAGCCATGTCCTCCTCCAGTTGGGGTGTGTGTCAGGGAGCTTTCAGATGCACCTGCTCTATGCTTGACACCCCACACACCCACATGGACTCCCTATGTTCCTGGCTCTTCCTGTCTAGAGACCCTTTCCTGTACTCCCCCCCCCCCCTTTGCTCTAGGTTCTCTTTATCAAGACCGGGGTTGTTCCAGGCTAGGATCAGGATGGAAAGGGGCCCAGGAGGGAGGAGAATTTCAGAAGAGGACCCTATGATTTAGGCAGGCTAGTTAAATTACCTTCTGGGGCTATGAGAAAAGCTTTGCTGAGATCCTGGGAAAAAGACAGAGGCTAGGCTAGTTTAAAAGGTTTAAGAGCCACAAGAGCAAGCTTTCATTTGGGGTGTTTGGCAATGGCTCATACTGTCCCCCTCAGTCACTCTACCCTACCTGTATTCTAAGAGATCCCAAGAAGAATTGGTGCCCTTGTTTTATAGGAAGGGGAGGGGAGAATCCCAGGGGCAGATGCTGGTAGACAAGGATGGCTGCTGTGTAAGTGCCTGCTAAAGCGCACTAGGGCGCCTGCTCTGCTCTTGCGTCCTGGGTCTTGGACAGTGGGGGCGGAGAGGGTCAGATGTGGAACTGCTTTTCAGCCCTGCTGTGAGACCCAAAGGGCTGGGAATACTGCAGCAGGATCTAGGCCCCCTCCCCTCAGCTGCCTTGGTGACCCGCCCTACTGTCAGCCTCAAAGCAGCCTGGCTCCACCCTCCTGGCTGGCTCTGCCCTAGTCTGAGTACTCAGAGGAGAAAGGGCTTAGAATGAGTAAAGGCTTCTTGCCCGCCAGTCTCTGCCGGTGCCTCAGACCCTTCCCCTTCTATTTTCCATCTCCGTGTCCCTGGATCCAAGGTCAAGTCGAAGGAGCTTAGCTTGACTCACCGGTCACATTCTCAGCTTTTAGCACAGTGCTGGGGATGTATAGAGGGACCCAGTCAACACAATGAGAAGAAAGGGGCAGCTTATTTAAACAAACAAATAAATAAAGCATCTGGGGGGTGTATCTGGAGGTCAGCGGACAACTTTTCTCCTTCTACCATGTGGGTCTATGGGACCCAAACTTGGGTATTCAAAGGTTTCAAGGCAGGAGACCTTATCCATCTTGCTAGTCCCAAGGGGGGGAGTGTTAATACCTGGGGATCAATGAATGAGGAGGAGCAGGAAGGGGGCCCCTAGCCTGCCCTCTGCTCTATGGCTTCTCCTTGCTCTGGGGATCCTGCTCACCACAGAAATGGTGGGAAGGAGTGGCTGAGTCAGATTTGTCACATTGCTGTGGTCTTTGATGGAAGAGAATCAAAATGAGGACACTAAGTGAAGGGGCCCAACTAGAATAGTCAGCATCTGTCCAAGGCGAGGTGCTGCAAGAAGGAAGGGGCTGCAAGAGTGAAGGCCACTGAGCAGGGATGGCAGGGAGCCTCGTGTCCCACTCTCACTTTCTGTAAGACCTGGAGAAGAAGGGGCACCGCCACTGCCTGTCAGCCTGAGACTGCCACCTGAGACTCTTCTTAGTACCGATGGTCCTTTGCTCTCTATTCAGTGCTCTGGGGTTCACAGCCCACATTGAAATCTACTAAGCTTCGGACACAAGTGAGGGATATGTTTATTTGTGGCACCTAGGATCCTACGAAGCATACTTGATGCTACCTTACAAGTAAATGGCTGACCCTGGGCCTGCCCTTTCCTGAAGGCCATCTGTGTTCGTTTCCTTCAAGTGACTCCTGGACATAGTGCCCACTGAGCCCATTGCCTGCTCCTTGGAGGGCTAGGACTCCTTGCATAGGGAGAGAAGTAGAGGTGAGGAGCATAGGGTGGGGCAGGCACCCTCTAGTTGCAATCCAACCCGGCTAACAGCATTTCTCCACTTTTCTCTCTCTCTAGAAAATAGATTATATACTCATTGCTTTAAGTTGGCACAGACTCATACATATTTATAGGTGCCATGTTTTCTTATACATACATACTATATAATGTTCAATTCAGATCTTGAATATTTATCATTTCCTCGTGGCTAAAAAACAAAAAACAATTCAAAGGTGTTTTCTTGCAGGTTGTTTGAAGGGAGCAGCATGCTATCATTTTCTCCAGGCATATCATTTGATAGAACAAGAGAACTTATTACTTCTCTCTAACTCCAGCTAGGTGGTGTCCATCATCTCGTCTTCATCCCTCCTCCACAGCTCTGTAAAATCAGCCTTTCCAGATTCCGCACCAGGCCACCTGTATCTGTCTTGCGGTGCCGGGCCGGTTTTGGCTAACACGGCGGGCTCCAGTTCCTTGCGTGTTGTTGCAAATGATGGGCTGCCGTTCTTTTCATGGCTGAACACTGTAGTGTGGAAGCGCCTCCCGTTCTTGACCAGAAAATGGTGAAGAAAATACAAGTCTGGGTTGTTTTGATCTCTTTTCTATTTTCAATAGTGCTGCAATAGACATAGCCAGCAGATGTCTCTCCATGTTGATTTCATTTCCTTTGCATATATACCCAGTGGTGGGATTGCTGGATCAGATGGCAGTTCTGTGTTTAATTCTGTGTGTATGGTGCTGGGAATCAAACCTAGAGCCTCTTGCATGCCAAGCAAGGGCTCGGTTACTGAGCTACACTTCATCTCTATTTTTACTGGTTTTGAGGAACCTGCATGATGTTTTCCATAATGACTATAGCGTTTCCCCTTTCTGTAGGTCCTACCAGTGTCTGTACCCTGGGGCTAGAGTCCAAGAGAGCTCTGTGGAATGCTTCATACTCTGTTTCCTCTCTCAGCATCTCTTTGTCTCCTCTTTTCCTATGATGAGCCGCTCTTGTTCCACTGACTTATTTCCTTTGCACATGTTCAAACAGAAATAACAAGGACTCTCTTCTGTGCCCCCCTTAAGCTGCTTCAGCCCACATAAACTTGGGTTGAAGAGAGAACTCAGGAAGGGCTTAGTTAGAGTTAGAGCCAATGTCTTTTGTTCAGAGAAGTGCTGTGGGTCAGCAAGGACAGAAGAGAACTGAAAGGAGAAAAGGGGATGAGAACCAACCAAGGATTGGGTCCCTCCCTCTCTCCTGTTGCTCGGCTCACTCTGCCTTCTCGCAGGCTGAAGTGTCAGTCTCAGCCCTTTTCTCCTGGTTTACCAAATTTCATACACAAATCTCAACAGTTTGGGAAAATTAACTGGAATGAATCAAGGAGGCCAGCCTCTTCCTGCCTACCATCACTTAGGGTGGGCACTGGGGCCAAGGGTGCGCTTACTGCTAGACACTTCTGGGACTCTATCTGGCGTTAAAGTGCTTCAGCTCAGAGTGCTCACAGTGAGGTCTGGCTAGTTTGTAGCATCAGTGTCAGGGGTTCAAAGTAGTATAAATCCTAGAATAGATGCTTGCAGTATCTGACAGGCTACATGCCCATTCACACAGCAGCCCAAGTCTTTATCCCAAAGATGCATATCCACAAGTAAGGGAACATGTGTGACAAGGTGAGTCAAGGTGCATCTGGAATAGAAACCTCTGGAAACCATCCTACTGCTCGTTCTTAAGAGCATAGCTAAAGCTGGTGGGCTGGTGTGTAACTGTCATCCCAGCGATGGCAAGCTTAAGGCAGGAGTAGTGCTGTGAGTTAGAGGCCAGCCTGGGGAACGTAGGCAAACCTTGTCTCAAAACATGAGAAAGGTGTGTGTGTGTGTGTGTACACACTCTTTGAGTGTGCTTTTCCAGACACTTGATGAAAATACT